GATTTTTGTGAAAATTGAGAGTTATTTGAAATTCAAATGATAGCTTAAAAAGAGTTTTAAGAACTTAAAAGTTGTTTACGAAATGAGGTCATCCAAACAAAAGGTGAGTCGATGCATTGAGATTTGAGAAGTTTTTTTGTTTAACCCAATAACAAACTACACTGTTTAAGAGCAACCTGATGAGAGTAGTAGGGCCAGACGACTAATTGGTATGAATTGAGAAATAACAGTTAAAGAATGTTTACCGACTCATATTACCACTTGTCAGGAAAATTTTCGGAGCAGTTGTTGCCTGTTAGTCAGCTTTTATTTGATTTATATAAGCTAACTTGATTCTTATGTCCGGAAAACAAATTAAGGCAAACTGTAAAATAGCTTTCAGCTGAATAGATATTATTAAGAGATTTGGATATGAAATGCTTTAGAAGCAAGACCCTTCCTAACCCAAATCCAATTGGCAAACCATTAAGTGGTGTCATTTGGAAGTATTCGGTGTCACCTCCAACTAATTATTGTTCTTTTCTACGTGCAAGAATTATAAACTTGACATGTAATTGATAGGTTTATAATTCATTTTATTAGTTACACAGAATGCCTATTCTTTATTCTCGTACTTAAACTGGGTTCCAACCTGCCAAAATTAGTAATATTTGCATGGATTTTAACATCCATAGGCATAAAGATGATAATAATATTCCTGATCGAGTCAACTGAAATACAGTTGGTTCCCTTCATTTTAGTACTCTTTAGCATTCTTCCCCAGCCCAAGCCGTCCAATTAACAGCAGGCCAATTCTAAAGAATAATGGGAACATCATAGCTTATAATACACGCTAAGTTCCTAGCATCTAGACACAACTTATATACAAACCAAATAAAGTTAGCTTATCAATTGAGGGCAATAGTGTAATTTTTTACACAAAAAACAAATGCTTGAATATGTTGAGTTTAATTAAAATCCTACAGCTGGTTTCCTAAGAGCATCTACAATGTTCTGGGTTCTTTCAAAACAAATATACAGGCCACGTAGGAAATAGACCCAGTCTAGAAAAATATTTACTCCAATGCAAATGCAATTGGACTGGGTCGTACTTATGTGGCAGCAAAAAAATGAGACCCGGTCTACCTTTGAGTTTATTTTAGACCCAAGTAGACTTGTCTCTTTGAGTTAATTTCATTACTTTTCAATATTTTTGTCCATGTCATCTGAGACTTAAGTCTATTGACATGCCATGTAAGCAAAACTAGACCCAAAGCATTGTACATGCTCTAATGGACACTACTTTCAAAACAAAATATGTGTTGGACTTTTATATAGGATTTGACATTAAGATCTATAGTAAGACAGATAAATATTTTGAAGTAAGGCTATTTCAACTGAATTTCAGTCTAGATATGGTCGCAACTAAAATCTATATCACTATAAAACTCTGACTTTCTGAGTGTCCTCTTAGAATTTTGCATTTGAGAAACCAATAAACTTCTATAAATTTATTTTAAGATTTACCAACAAAAACCATAAATTTCAAAGAAAAATGCTATAGTGAGATAACCTATCAGTATTTTTTTGAATAAAAGTGCATACTTATATTGTGAAATGCCATACTTCCGTTTAAATTTTTTTTAAACTGTGACATTCGAGTATGAAAGTATGCATATTTGATAGAAAAGTTGACTGCCTAACCAATAAGCTAGGCAGCCTTACCGAATTTTAAAAGAAGTGAATACCAAAAGATTATTAGGAAAAATTATAAGCTCTCATATGAACATGGAAGAAGCACCAAAGCTAGAAAACAACAACGAAAAGCAAATCGAACCTAAATTAGACAAACATACTAAATATATGATCATTAACCCGCATTCTCGCAAAAACTGAAGTTCACAAACAAAAATCAATCCTATGATGAAGACATTATAAGATTAAACCACACAATCAAACACCAAAGTTAATCAATCCGCCAAGACACGAGATCTTTCAACATGATCTGTACTCCAATCCAGCTTAAAAACTGAATGTGAAACCCAGTTAGATTTTAATCAAAAGATCACACATGCACAACTCTAGCAACTAAACCAACAGACTTCAAACAATCCAAATCAAGCAGCCGGCCATTAGCCCAAATCATCACAAATTGAAAGCTAACCAAAACTATAACCACAAGCAATCGATACGGAAAAACCAGATCAAACACACACACACACACACACAGATAGAACTTTTAGCAGAAAAAGCGTGGTACCTTTCCTGGCCGGCGGTGTCCCAGATCTGAGCCTTGACGGACTTGTGCTGGATGAGGAGCGTGCGTGTTTGGAATTCGACACCGATCGTGGCTTTCGAGTCCAGGCTGAACTCGTCGCGCGCGAAGCGGGACAGTAACTGGGACTTGCCGACGGCGGAGTCGCCGATCAGCACCACCTTGAAGACGTAGGCCACTTTCTGACCGGCGTCGCCGTATCCACCGCTCGCCATTTTCCTCACTTCACTGATAAGGGGAGAACTAATATGGCCTTTTTCCTTTGCTTTGCTGTTGCTTTCACTTGTGGAGTTGTTTTTTGTTGAAAAATGAGGAGGATTGATTTTTGTTGAAATGATGAGTCATCGGACAACTCAGCGGAGCCGACGGGGGAGCAATTTCGTTTTGCGTGTCATCTTTAAAACTTTTGTCGTTGGGTGATAAATTGCACTTTGGTCCTCTATATATTAAAGAATCTATTTGTTGGACCCAGTATTGTGTTCAACAGTGAGTCATATTGTGATTACATTGGAAATATTTTATTTTGAGTAAATCATAATTTTAGTTCTATATGTTTCACTATTTGCGTGTCATCTTTAAAACTTTTGTCGTTGGGTGATAAGTTGCACTTTGGTCCTCTATATATTAAAGAATCTATTTGTTGGACCCAGTATTGTGTTCAACAGTGAGTCATATTGTGATTACATTGGAAATATTTTATTTTGAGTAAATCATAATTTTAGTTCTATATGTTTCACTATTTGCACTATTTTGTCTCTTTCGAGTAGTGTTTTTTTATTTTCGTCTTTAAAAAATAGTTTGACAAAGGTCATTTTCATACATAAGAGACGAAATTGAAACATTTTTTTGCAAAACATAAAGCTTTTGGTTGCGAAAATGATCTTTTTGTAACCTTTTTTTTTCAAACATACGTGACGAAAATAAAAATATAATTTGAAAAGGACGAAAATGTCGAAATAGTGAATCATACATTACTAAAATTGTAATTTACTCTATTATTTTTGTTTTGAATTATTTGATATGAAATGAGATGAAAAGGTAAAAAATATTCTTATAAAAGTGAGATATTTGAGATTATGAATGAACATCGAATAAAATTATAATAATAAAGTTAGTATGATATAAGAATAAAAAAATATTGATTAATAGTGATGAGCTAGAAATAGAGTGAATAGTCTTTTATGGAAGAAAATATATGATGTCTAATTTTTATTATTTAATTATGTTACTCAAACTGTAATGAAAAAATTGGTATGTGTGAAATTATTATTTTTTTTTCATTCTAATCGCATTTTAATTCCATAAATTTTAACTCATCAAAACCCCACAAGTCTACGGTGTAATTATATGAGAGATTTCATTTGGTTTGCACTAATGTGTTACATAGAATTTTTCAGTCCACGGTGTATGCTCCCCGGGCTATCCTGTCTCCTGGTGCTGTGGCGGGTGGTCCGACGGTGGTTGCTTTCGGTTGCGGGTGATAGGCAACCGACGGCTCCCAGCCGGTTTGGTGAGGGGAGGTCATGCCGACTGAAACTCGCGATGGGACTATGAGTTTTTTTGGTAGAAGGAGGTTCGGTTGGTGTGTCCGGGTTTAATTAGGCCTCGATTGCAGGTTTAAGATCTTGATTGAGTTGTGTTTCTATTTTCTTGTCGAGACCGTTCGCGCGTGGGGTTCAGTTGTTTGTTGCGGATGTGGAGGGCTTTTCTTTGTTACCTTAATTTCTTTTGTGTTTTTGTTTGTTTGTTCTTTGTGCGTGTTGTTTAGTGTTTGTAGTTGTGTGTTTTAGTTGTTGTGTTGGTGTCTTTTCTCTTGTTTGTAACTCTAGCCCACTGCTCCTTAGGCTTACTTTCATAGATTAATCTGCGACTTGCACGATTACGACGTTGCTCATAATACAACAACCAAAACTTGAAGGCGTGCTTGGTTTCGGCTTGTTCTACCTGATATAGCATCCAAAATAACTCGATGAACTAACATGTGTGGCTAGCTCGGTTATGGTAGGTTCAGGAAAGGTCAGTCTATTTTCAAGTATATTTCTGTTAGGGAGTTCGCCTAGGTAGCTCAAGGAACAAGCAGGTCTAGTTTAGGCATCTCGAAAGTCAGAAAACCATAGTTTTTAAACCCGCCCCGGTAATCGACTCGGGCAGGTCTTCGGGTCACCGGTTCAACCGTCGGGTCATCGGGTCAATTGCTGAACTGGATAATTAATTTTAAAATTTATAAAATTATATATAGAGTATTTTGTGATATATAAATATACATAAAAATAACAAATTTAAATATTTTATATGTAAAATTTGTAGATTAAAGTGGTAATAATATGTATATATTTATCATATAAATATATATATATATAATTTTATTTTTTAAAAAGAAAAAGAAAATTAAAAAACAAAAATAAAAATAAAAAAATACATATAGACCGGGTCAACCGGGTTGACCCAGCCGGGTCAATGCCCCGGGTCGACCGGGTCAAGGCCGGGTTGATCGGGTTTTGACAGCGTCCGTTGTTGCTCGGTCCAATTAACCCACCCGGACCGGTTTCGGCTCCGGGTCGACTGGGTTTCGGGTCGACCCGCCGGGCCGGTCCGGGTCACAAAACACTGCAGAAAACCTAGGGAGCTCCAATACACTATGAGACCTTATGGGTCGTAGGTCCTGAGGTGGAGGTCATGGTTCCGACCTAGGTACCATCAACGATAGGAAGGTACAGAGGTCGTAGTTACGACTTTGGAACCATGGACATGGTAAAACCACGGGAGGTCTCCCAGAGGAAAACCTGGGAAGTCCACGGAAGTCATTTCGCGAGTTATCAAATAGGGATATATATATTACGTTTGTAGAAAATTTTCTACTTGTAAGACTGAAGATCTATACAAGTAAAAATATCATTGGAGAATATATATCTATATATATTTATATATATAAAGAGGTTGTTAGAAAAACACATCAATAGAAAGTTTGAAAAAAAAAAAAAAAAAATATTGTTTGATAAAACGCATGTGAATCTTTAGTAATAAAATCTGAATTCTATTTTTTTGGTAACAAATTTGGATATTCTTATGGCAAAATATGAATCCCTTTTTTTGCGTATCATTTTTTTATTTTTTCCCAAAATTGGATCCCTATTTTTTCTGTAACAAATTTGGAGATTTTTATGCCAAAAATGTGTCAATTATTTATGAAAACAATTGTAAATACAAATTAATTTGAAAATTGTGCAAATTGGATACAAACTTAGGAAACAAATAGTTGTATAATTTTTAACGAATTCTTTCAATATTTTTTAATAATTTTACCTTTGAAAAAATGTGTGTAAATTGGATAAAATCACGTGCAATTTTTATTTTAAAACATAATTGAGATGTGGACGAGAAATACATTCAAAATTGTATCTACATATTTTTCGTAACAAATCGATTCACCTTTGATATTTAAGTCAAACTTTATCCAATTATTTGGAGGATAAAATTCAAATCAATTTCAAAACCGTGTGCAATTTTTACAAGGAAAAATCGTGTGCAACATTTCAAAATTTAAATGCACCGATTTTTTTGGATTCTCATGTTTTTTCTTAACCATGTTTTACGGAGATTTGGTAAGCTCATATCATTTTTTAGGGAAAGAAACAGTTGCATATATCTTAACAAATTATTTCGTTTTTTATTAGAATTAGTTTCAATTCAAGTTTTTAGGTAAAAAAAATCGGTACAATGTTAGGAAAAATCGGTTGCATTTTTAGAAAAAGTTGATGATTTTTTTAGCCAAATATTCAGATCAATTGTTCGGTAAAAAAATTCGGTGTATTGGTAAAAAAATCACTTTCATTTTTCGAAAAAATTAATGATTATTTTCAACTTTCTTAATAAAAAAATTTGAATTAGATTTTTAAAAAAATAAGATGGCGTGAAAATCCCTAAAAAATTCTACTTTTTATCTACTATACTTGTTTTTAACAAATAAGATTACTTAATTTTTCTGAAAACGTAATGTGTGCACTAATAACTAATAATACGCAATTTTAGATAAAATCAGAACACTCATGTTAAGATTCTCTCAGGTGGGAGCGGTGACCGATTCTCTCAGGTGGGAGCGAACCTCTTTTCCGATTTCTTCTCCGATCATCCCTGTTCTGTATTCGCAGCTACTGCATAGCTTTCACTTCTTTCTTTGGTGGCGTTTTCTTTCTTCCCTGGTTCATTTTCGGGATTTCTAGGGTTACGACAATTATGTCGAGTGCCCAGGATGAAGAATTGTCCAACCAATTTAGTGCCTTTTCTCTCTCAAATAACGAAGCAAAATTCATTGACATAGCGAACGATGACATTAAGATGAGTGCGGAAGAATGTGATAGAAGTTTATTCGGAAAAATCATCGGAGACCGAGCAGCAAGCTGGATTGGTATTAAAAGGACGATGACCAACATATGGAGACTCAACCAAGCCATGGAAATTAAGGAGCTCACCCCAAACTATTTTTAGTTCATTTTTCAGAGTAAAGAAGATCTGAAGAAAGTAGCAGATGGCATTAACTGGAGTTTCGAGAATCAATATCTCGTCCTCAAAGAATGGACGGAAGGAATCTCTAGCAAGCATCCCTGTTTCCAGGAGCTCAAAATATGGGTTCAGATAACAAATGTTCCCCTTAACTGGCTCAGTACAGAAGTGGGCTTAAAAATAGGGAAGGCTTTCAAGAATGTTAAAAATGTAGTGTTGGCGAACTCAGGGAATCATGGTGGGAAAATACTGAAATTGTTGGTCACTCTGAATTTGGGAGAACCGCTTCCCAGAGTTGCAAATATAAGGCTGGGTGAGCAAACAGCTGTAGTAGGCTTTAAGTATGAAAAATTGCTGAATTTATGCCACTACTGTGGCTTCATAGGCCATCTTGATAGGAGTTGTGCAAAAAGAATTGCTGACATTAACAACAACACCCTCAAAGAAGGCCAATATGGGGACTTTATGAAGGTATCTGATGGTGTGAGGAGTTTTGAGCCCAATATCTCAGGTACAAAAGGGGCCACTCATACTGAATCCCCAACAGGAAATATGCACAGTCCATCCAACCACTTCTCATCCCAACAAGCAGAAACAAGCCAACAGCTCATTCAACTGCCACTGAGCAGTCAATCAATTGCTCCTGAAGAAGAACAGGATTCACTGGCCTCAGGCACCCACACACCTCCTCACAATTCTCAAATCATTGAAGTTC